ACAACGTCATCTGCCCGGGAACACCAGACTTCCTGGCACACGTGCGCGGGAGCAGCCGCTTCGAGTGCACACACTACCCCGCCTTCCTGAAGCACAGGAAGTTGGTGGACGGCCTGGAGAAGGCCATCTACATGGGCCTGGGCAGCCCGGCGCAGCCTTGACGGCCCGCCCTGCTCTGCGCTCCCTCGCCAGCCTGGTTCTGAAGGGCACGATGGACGTGCTCCCACTAACCCTACTTCTGCGGTCCTGGGGTCTGTCCTTAAATGCAAAGCATGCTGCAGGCCTGAGCCCTGCCCACGTTAACCTCTCGGTGCTGCAGCTCCACGCTGTCTTTTCTTTAACGACAAATCCCAGGCTCTTTACTAAAATCAGCTAGCTGTAATAATCTTATATTCTAATTTCATATTTTAAAAAGAGAAATCCCGGATCTAGATATTTAGATACGAGAGGTCAGCTTAGCACCACGCTTCTCACCCTCCACGTGGCCCCCATACCCTGCTGCGCTCCGCTCCAGCACCAAACACACTGAGCTCCCCTTGACGGGATGATAATGCCATGGGCCTGGCACAGGGCTGGCTGAGTTCTGGGTATTACACCTGGCCCAATAGTGGAGAGGGAGCCAGCCCTACTCAACACTGCTCCTTCTGTGGCCAGGCCAGGGGCACCTGTTAGCACCACATGCATGTCTGCCTGCCTGGGAAACCAGCACAGGCCAATCGGCCAGACTTTACACCCATCTCTGACCATGGCAGGCACTGGGGACAGGTGGACACAGGACCACAGAGCAGCACCCGGCCCTCTGGGTCCACATGTCACACTGAGCGGAAGCACCTCCATCCCCAATCCCACCTGGCCTTGCCTATGGAAGAGGAAGCAGGCTCAGACTGTCACAGCATTTCTGCTGGTTGCCAGCTGCAAGTGACAAAGCAGAGTTGGTTTGTGTGTACCTAATCCACGGCTGTCCCCAACCCCCTCTCTGGCCCTCCAGCCCCAACTCTCCCAAGGGGTCAGACTGCTGGCCACCTCAGAGGCTCTCAAAGGCCCTAGTACAGGCTGAATTCCCAGACTGGGGGCAAAGATCAACCCTTTCCTGGCTGAGCCCACCTGTGCCTAAACCAGCCACTGGCCAGGACTCTACTCCTGGGCTTCTAGCCCAGTTATGCAGCCAGAAACCAGTTTGTTCCTCTGGACATATGGAGAGATCAGCAAAATGCCCTAGGGGCCAGGAACTGACCCCTACCCCACACGGAGCACAGCAGGTGGATACCAGGGCATCCAGAAAGTAGGGCCCTAGCTCAGGGTGACAGGTGCTGCCAGCCCCTGCTGCCAGAGGGCTCCAGGCTCCATGGCAGGGTCCGCACAGGATGGCCCTTCTGGTGATCCAATCCCTAAGAACAAATGGCTGGGCCTGAGCTCTGTGGAGGGACGGGGGAAGGCAGATGCTTCAGCCACAAGCACAGGCAGGTGTCGGCCAGCTGAGTGAGGCAGGACAACATGCAACCTCCAGGCAGGGCAGCCACCTCCACACACTGCATGGATAGAGACGTGGAGAAAGGCAGCTGCTATGGGTAGTGCAGGCTGACTCTGAGGGTCTCCGCCCCAGGGCCAGTCCCTTCTTGCTGGTCGTTGCAGGGCCCTGTGTTTGGGGTGTTTGAGGGTGTGGGGGACCATCCCTCCCTGGGTCCCATCTCCTTAGAGCCCTAAACCTACAGTGCCTGAGATGGGGCTGCAGGCCTAGAGGACCCTCCCTCCTAGCCAGGCATTTGGGCTGCTGCGCTGGAGGCCAGGGTCCTGCTGGGAGCACACAGGAGCAGAACATGCAGCCAGCAGAGGTTACCCAGAAGCCCGGCCCAGCAGATGGGAAAATGATCACATGAACAACCAGACGAGACAACGTACCAGGCATGCAAGCTAGACCCAGGAGTCAACAGGCTGAGGTTTAGTGTCCCCCACGGCGTCCACCAGCCTGACCGCAGGCCTGCTGGGTCCGGGAGGAGGGGCTTTCCTGTTGGGGTCAGGCTGCAGCACATGGGTGGGTGGGTGGGCAGGAGGGTGTTAGAGGCAGAACACAGCAGGTTAGTCAGAGCTGACGGGTGGGGCTTGGCTGGTCAGTGGGGCTGGGCCAGGGTGTTGTGAGACTGGGCCTGCCAAGGCAGCACGGGGGAGTGCTGAGGGTGAAGGAAGCTGAGCAGGTGTGGCTCACATGGGTTCAGGGTGGCACGTGGACGCACGACGCCTGTGTGCAAAGCCGAGGAACTGGCACAGCAGGTGGCAGGTGCTGCCCTTGCCACACCCTGCCTTTCTAGGATGGGTTACCTGTGTTAAATAAAAACTATAGGAGGCTATTGTTTGGGACTGAGCTCCTGCACTAGGCCCCAAAAGACTAGACTAAGAACCAAAATGGAGTCACTCATGCCGAGGTTCCTTGTCACCAAAGCAAAACTGAGTTATTCTCTGACCTTCCGAGAAATTAGGAGAGACAACAGCCAATTTCCCAAATAGGCCAGTTTCAATTATTCCCTCTGCTTTAATGCTTACCCAAAAAAAGCAACCTAATGTTAACCAAGCACTTACTTCTCTGTTCCCACCTTATAAGGAAAGTCACTTTGAAATGACCGGTCCACTTTTTGTTCTTTTTTTCTGCTTTCTTCAGCCCTTTTCTCTCTACAAAACCAAACTCCTCTGCTCAGCTCATTGGAATACTATTTTGTTTTATTTTATTCTGTTTTATAAATGAAGTGTTGCCCAATTCTAGAATCACAAATAAAGCCAATAGAGATCTTTCAGCTAAATTTGTTGTAATTTTCTCTCTTGACCCCTGGAACAGCACTGTCAGTGCCCACGCCCATGGGGACAAACAGGAGACCACCTGCCTGGACACCCACATGAGTGTTCCCCCAATGGTTTTCTTTGGGGCTTTGGAGAGACAAGTCCTCACTCTGCCCCCATCTCTCCCAGGGCAGCCTTGGGAGTTCCCTGCTCTGCAGAGCGGGGCAGCAGGAACCCTTCACCGAGCTGGGAAGGATAATGTATCTGACTCCAAAGCAACCTCTGTGCTTGTCGAGACCATGTCTTAGGCTGGAGGGGATTCCACAGTTCTGAGCATGACAGTACAGGAAAGGGCTTCATTTTCTCTGATCACAGAGAAGAAACCAGTGAACACTGGGGACATGGTCCTGGAGAACACCCAGAGGGACAGTCCCACCTGGGAACACCTTTGAGGCAAAGGGAAGGAGATGCCTCTAAAGTATGGGACAGAGGGAGGGCCATGGAGAATGAGCCCATGTCCTCACACCCTGGCCCACAGAATAAGCACTTGTGACCCACCAGGTGTCTCCTGGGGGCTCCTTCATCGTCCATGACTGCCCAGGGGTNGTTGGGGTTGCCAATTTGGTATGGCTACCTCAGTGATTACTCAGTTGGACACTAGTGTCAGTCAAGTCCAAAATTGACTACTGGGAAGATGGCCGGGCGTTCACGCCACTCCCTCCGGTGAGTCTCAGCTCCCGCGTTGCACTCCCGCGTTTAGCTCCTGCGGCAGCCTCTGCAGCCAGAGACGCCCCAGCCACCTCTTGCCGCCCCTGATGCTCCTGGCTCCTGTTCGCGCCGCAGCCTGCTCAGTCTCTCTTCAGCTCGCGGTTCCAGTGGCGCCTGGGGCCAGGGAGGCGGCAAGTGAGCAAGTGTCCTGTGGGTAAGAGATTCAGGAAATGACCCTTGTTTGAGGATGAAAATCCCAGGAAGAAAGTAAGCGTGGCCCAGGGACTTTCTGAAGCCGGGAAACCACAGTGGGCTCCAGGCCAGAGAGCGGGGTGCCAACTTGAGCCTAAGTGTTTCTTCCAATTCTTAGAGCTGGCATCAAATGGCACCTCATCAGAGAGGCTTTCCCAGGTCACCCCACCTAAAGTAGCCCCCAGCCACTCGGGGTCACATCACACCACTGTCTCCCTCTTTCTGAACTTATTAAGGTATTGTTTATATACAATAAAATTCACCAATTTTAAGTGTACAGCTGATTGTGGCACTGGCTCATGATCACGTAACCACCAACATTGAGATCTAGAATAGTGCCCTCTTCCTAAAACTTTCCTCCTTTCGCCCTTCCCCCAGCCCTTGGCAACTTCCAATTTGCTGTCAATATTGTTTTTCATTTCCTGGACTTTCATATAAGTGGAGTCATACAATATAACGTCTTTTGTGTTTGACTTTTTCCACTTAGCATGACGTTTTTGAGACGTGTCCATGTGGTTAAGATTTAGGGTTAGGGTCGGGTCATGTGTTTCTTCCATGGAGTATTCCATGGTATGGATATATACAATCTGTTTATCTATTCACTAGTTGATGGAGTTTGGATGTGTTGTCCCCTCCAAAACTCATGTGGAAATTTGATCTCCAATGTGGCAGTGTTGGAAACTGATTGAGTCATGGGGGTGGATCCCTCATGAATGGATTAATGCTCTCCTTGGGGGAGGGGGGATTAATGAGTGAGTTCTTGCTCTATTAGTTCCCACGAGAGCTTGTTGCTTAAAAAAAAAACCCTGGCACCTTCTCTCTCTCTCTCTTGTTTCCTTTTGCCATGTGATCTGCTTGTACCCGCCAGCTGCCTGCTGTTTTTCCGCCATGAGTAGAAGCAGCCTGAGGCCCATGCCAGATGCAGCTGTCCCAGGATCATAAGCCAAATAAACTGCTTTCCTTTATAAATTACCCAGTCTCAGGTAATTCTGTTATAGCAACACAAAACGGACTAAAACACCACGTGACTGCAGTAATAACAATCCTCAAGGCTCAGGCCCTCCTGGCTCTAGTCCTGGGCCAGCGCTAAGCTGTTTGTATGGTTCTGGGCTCGGTGGGTTTGGTGAAACAAACCCTGGGGCAGAGTTTTGGTGTGAGGACCTACAGGAACCACGGCCCCTCTTGGTGACCATGTGTTGCTCCTGCTAACCACCACTCATGCCCACAAGCTGGCCCAGATCTGTCCCCATCCACTCTCCAGAGTTCCCTGATGGCCATTCAGCTGGGGCCTATTGCTGACCAGGGTTGGGCCACCAGGGGAGCTGGGGAGGAGGTCCACCTGAGGCTAGGAGGCATGTCCTGTCTCAGAGAGGTGTTTCTAAAAGCAGAACCCACCCCTGAGATGAGATTCAGGGGACAGAGGACTCACTGCAGGAATCTGAGCTAGTTGGTGTTCTTTGCAAATGGATAAATACTCATCTGAAGTTTTCACCAGCACCCTGGCTCAGCATCCCTGCAAACCAGAAGGGTTCAGAGTGAGGGGGTCATGGTGAGGGGTGGGGGGACATGGGAGGCATGGGTGGCCCCTCCCTCCCCTGCATCCTGAGGGTGTCCAGGACCCTTTGACCATAGTCATAGCACGAGAGGTGAGGACTACTCCT